ATGTAGGGGTAATCTTTTACACTGTCAAAGAAGTCTCAACAACTATCCCAAAGTACAGTTTTCTGAGAGTTTTCGGCCTTTGTATTCACCGTGATGTTTGCCTGGCAGTGAAAAGGCTCGGATGTTCGCCCCGAGAATAGCATTATTATATCATGGTATGATATATCAACTCCACCACAAAGACCAAACTTGGTCAAGGTTTTATAATGATTGATAATATGAATCAAGTTTCTTTCTCTCTAAAAACTAAATGGCAACACATGGACAGCATTTGTGGACAAATTACAGGAAATATCAAATGTACATGATAATGCAGAGTTCAATAGTATACAAACAACAATGAAATTACAGAAAACTTATATTGATAACCAGTGCTTGCCAGCCCTCCAAAAAATGGAAAATAATAAATTACGCATTTACAAGACATTTAAAAAAAAAATATGAATTTGAGCCATATCTAGAACTTGTAAAAAATATTAGTCATAGAACAAGTATAACCAAATGTAGAATCTCTGCTCATACACTGCCAATTGAAAGGTTAAAATACAAAGACAAGACGATTGGTGATGAAATACATGCATTATTGGTTTGTAAGAACCAAAGATTAATAACTAGTTGTACACAATTTATTAATACTTTGTCATTGTATAATAGTCTACTAACATTATCAGAACAAAACATGTTCAAACAAATTTTAAGTTCAAATGATGGTTTCATTACCAACAGCCTGGGAAAATTCATCAATGATATTTTAACAGAAAACAAAAATTAAACTTTTAATATTTAACATTTTTTCTAACATTTAATTTATAATTTTACATTGTTTGTTTATTTGTTATTTGTTTGTTTGTTTATAAAGTAATGTATATTGGCCATAGATGATGCATTTTCCATGCATTATTTTGTGTCAAAATATACTATGAAGTTTGAATGATTACTAAAAATAATGCAATGTCAAGAAAGTTAACAATGACATCAAAGATAACAGACACTGAAAATATCTTATCATTATTAGTAAGGTATCGTAAATAAAGATTTGACTCACTACTCCTGATAGTGACACTTGTAGTGGTCATACCCATATATTGGTACTAAAATCACATGAAATTTATATAAATGCCCAGAAAAATGTCACGATTTTTTTATGTTGGCATAGCCTTTATATTAATGTGTTGCAATTTGCTGGGTTGCTTGTAACATCACTGAGCCCCAAAACGTTGTGTAGTCTGTGTATTTTCTGAGAGACACGTGCAAGTATTTTATCTTGTCTGCCAATATGGCTGTCAAATTAAATCGTTTCCATGGTAACATGGTTTGTGAAATGAGATAAGAAACATTTGTGTTGAACCTTACCGAGCTGCTTGTCTTATTGAGTTTTCTGCATCAAAAACACTCTCGTGCATCTGTTTTTTATCACTCTCAAGTTGTGATAAGTGTCTGTTCAGTTGCCTTAGGGATTGTTCTTTGCGCCGGAGCTCCATCTTTGCTTCAGAAAGATTCTAAAGGAAAATAAAATTAGAAAATAGTGTAGTTCACAATGAAAAGCACACATCTCAACATCTAATAAATATTCTATTTTTATTTTCACAGCATCTGAAAATATTGAAGATGTTGACATACAAATATTACAAAATAACAGAAAAAGAAGTCAATAACTATAAGTGTAATCTACTAATGCAATAGTTCTCAACAAGTGTATTGTTATCGTATTTTTGTAATAAACAACTTACCTTGACAGCTTCGTTAATTGTAACATTTCTTTCTAAATCTTCGGTCGTTAATTCATTTAATCGTAAACTTAATTCTTCAAGCTGACTGCTTTGTTCATTTAATAATTCCTGCGCCTGTTGCTCGCGTTGTAAGGCATTGCTCAATTCTTGACAAATAGTGTCAAAGCGTTCACTGGGAACTGTATGCTGTATCTATAGCACAAAAAAGACAGATAAAATAGATTGAACTCCGAAATTGTCTTGAATTTTATATTTAAACTGAAAATCTGTGAATGTAGCTGTGAAAGATTGAAACTGATCCAGGAACTCTCTCAAAACAATTTTAATTCAGATTTCTTTGTTATTGACCTTTTAAATACAAAAGTCAACTTTTGTAACCATCCACAAACGAATAAATTAATATTTAAAGCAAGCAGGCTGTCGGCTGATATAGCTTCGCTGTATAGTCAAAATAGTGTTTTTTTTACCAAAAATACCGGTAATCAAAATATTTACAAAAATTAGAGAATATAAGCATTGTCACAAAATGAACAAATTTTACTAAGGTCCACTTAAGGTGTCTATATATATATAATACCAATTTAAAAGCAATTGGGCTAGCCATTTTAAGGAAGAAGTCGAAAAATGACAAAAATATTCATCAAAATTTGTAATTGAAGGTAATTGAGAGAGGTCCACCCAGGGTACATATATATAAAGTATCAAAGCAAGTGGAGTTGTTGTTTTCAAGAAAAATAAAAAATGTAAAGCTGACAGGCATTGGGGGACAATAAGTAATATGAACAAGTACTGAGAAATAATTGTAAACTCATAGTTGCTGTTGACATAGGAAGTAAAGTAAGCAAATAACACCGAATAAACG